CAGGAGTTTTTCTGAGTTTTTAACAACTCCTGCAGCGACGACACTAAAGTGAGACGACGTGAGCTGTCGGAGCTGTTTATCGGCTGCAGGTGAGTCATTTGTTACGCAGCGAATTTAGATTTAGTGTCGTGTTTATCTGTGCTTCATATCTGCTAATGTTCCGTCTGATCTGAATAAATGAATAAATGAGGAACGACGCGGTGACCTGAGTGACAGAACGTCAGCGACAGATTGATGAAGCAGGAACGCTTCATATCCCAGAACCAAAGAAAAAAATAAAGGTTTTAAATCAAAGCCGTTTTTTTTTTTTTCTTTAAGTATGCAAAATGTTTTCCTGGAAACAAAATCAGCAGCTCCTCCATCCCCTTAATGCATCTCATTGTTGGACGGCAGCTTTTATTAACAGCAGCCTCAGCAGCCGAGCGTTATTTAGCTGCATAATGACCGCTCCGAGGTCCATTAGCGCAGCTCAGTGATGGAGCGGCGACGTGTCGGCCGGACGCTGCAGCGGAAAGTCTGCAGAGGGTCTCCCAACTCCGCTCATTACCACAAACATCGCGTGGCCATTAACATAAAGAGAAACCAACAGAGGAAACCGCCGCCTTTGATGTTATGTTAATCTTAACGCATGCACACGTTTCCCCGGGTTAGCAGACGAGCCGACTCGTTAGCGGGTAAAAAAGAAAAAGCTGCGGCGCTTCGATCGGCCTGGATCGCTCAACGACGGGAAGGTCAACGTGAACCAGTGGCAGATACCCCGACCTTGACGAGTAATCTGAGCTAACGTCGCTAACAAAGCCCCTCTGACGTCCCCCCTTTGTCTCCGGCTCCTCTCGGCTCCGCTAATCACATCATCCCTAAATATTTTCTCATTTTTCTGACAATGAGGCTGATAGATGTGAAGGTCATTTATCATACTGGCGACCGACTAATGCTATCAGCTCCTGGCAGCAGGTCTAATCATCCTCTTATGGGTAAAGCTACTGGTACATTATCCAATACTGCACATCTTGCACAGTAGAAAATGTTATTAAAAAGTTGCAAAGCTGGTAGATTGTGAGAGTCGCTAAGAGCCGCTCTCGGTTTCAATCTCCGAGCGCTGCATATCTAAGAGCACAATGAGAACGGTGCATCATCAGAGCTAAAACTCCAATAACCTCCAGAACCGGCCGGGCCACGAGGCTCATACATCATATCGGAGCCGAGCTTAGCGCCGCAAGTGAAATTACCTGAGCACACGGTGTAATGGCATTTTAGCAAGAAACAATAATCCCACAGAGGTGAAGGCAAATCCTGCTGAAGCACGGCGGTAATTACTGACTGAGTGTTTTTCATCTGGGACCAAAGGCCTCGCGCAGGAAGCCTTCGCTCCATTTATTTAGCTTTTCTTTTCTTTTTTTAAATTCAAAGTGTGGGAAAACACAAGCCTGTCGCCTGTGCAACCAAACTGCATGTTTGTTTTGGGATGTTACGGGATTTCAAATCGACACCGTCAGCCAATCGATCACGTACTGTCACCACGGCAACCCCGAAGATGGAGGAGAGGCTTCAGACGTGTTGTGAAAAAAGTCGTGTTTTAACCCAAAACTGCATCGTTTTGCCGCCTAAAACCAGAAAGGGGCGTTTTCATCGCAACTCATCACAAGTTCTAGTCAACCGTCTGGAAATTTGATAGTTTAAATTATTTATGAAGATATTTGCAAAATGTTTTTTTCAGATAAAACCTTTTTAAAATCTACCCGTCTGCAGGTTTGTTCTCACGCTGAAATTTGAGGCTTTTTGAGCAACAACATCCCAGAAACTGTTAAAGATAAAAACCTGAAACGTTCTCTGTTGTTTCTCATCGTGTCATTGATTCAGAATCGATAATATTGGACGAGTTGATCAAATAATCTGATTAAACAAATACGAACACGCAGGAAGTCACAAAGAGGCACAAAACAACCACATGGAGACACAAAAGGACCACAAAACACAACAAAAAAGAGACTAAAAACAACCACAAAAAGATCTGAAAGTACCACACAGATACAACCAAACAAAACGACCCAAAAAACCCACAAAAAAATATCACAAAGACACTAAAAACATCCACAAACAGACATAAAAAGACCACGAAAAGACACAAAAAAATCACAGAGATGAAAAACAACCACAAAGTGACCACAAAGACACACAAAACAACGACAAGAAGACATAAAATGACCACAATGAGATACGAAAGCACCACAAAGTGACCAGAAAGACATGGACGGAGTCACAAAGAGACTGAAAACAACCACACAAAGACACAAAACATCCGTTTATAGAAACAAAACAACCACACATAGACACAAAAAGACCACGAAGACGCATAAGGAATCACAAAGAGAGCACGGGGATGAAAAACAACCACAAAAAGATGCAGGAAAAAGACAGAAAAAAAAGACAAAGATACACAAAAGTACCACAAAGACATCACAAAGAGACCACAAACATCCACACAAAGACACAAAACATTGACAAAGAGACACAAAATGACCACAAAGAGACAGAAAACGCTCCAAAAATAAACAAAAGAACCAAAAACATCCACAAAAAGATGCAGGAAAAACACAAAAAAATCAATCAAAACGACTACGAAGAGACACAAAAAATCACAAAGAGACTAAAACCAACCACAACAAGATGCAGGAAAAACACAAAAGTACCAGAAAGACACCACAAAGAGACCAAAAACAACCACATGAAGACACAAAACATTGACAAAGAGACACAAAACAACCACAAAGAGACATAAAAAGACACAAAACAGTCACAAAAAGACACAAAAAGTCACAAAGACATCAAAAAGAGACACAGGAAAATCACCAACAAAATCGCAACGATACACAAAATAACACAGAGACACAAAATGACCACAAAAAAAGACAAAACGACCACAAAGACACACAAAGAAATCCCAAAGAGACTAAAACCAACCACAAAAAGACACAAAACATGAACAACACGACCACAAAGCGTCCCAGCCGACCGACCCAGACCCGCAGCCTCTCGGCGCCGGCGCTCCGTGGTCCTGCTTGTCGTCTGAACCGCTGAACTCTGAGGCGTGACGCGTTCCAGCAGCTGATTTAAAAGTCTGAACAGCAGCGAGCAGGTGAGGCAGCAGCCCGGAGGCAGCGCTCTACAACAGTTCACTCTCTTTCTAGGACACAATTATCAGACGCAGGATGAGGCCTGGGACTCGGGTCGGCTCTGGAGGGCCCGAGGACGCCGCCGTCTGGGTGGGACCGGCTCCGGGTCGCTCTTAAACGAAGGGGAGCGGAGCCGGCGCCCTTCTGCTGTCCGAGGGTAAAGGACCGCATTAGCATCGGCGTCCCGGGAGGACTCATGCAAATGTGACCGGAGCCGAAGGTCAGAACCGCGCTGGAAGGATGGAGGGATGGAGCCGACACCGGAGCGGCGCCGGAGACGACAACACGGAGGATAAACCTGCTGCTGCTGCCTCATACCGGGTCGGACGGAGGCTGGACGGGGCGCTGACAGATGGGTAAAGTGTTGACGACACCAGCTCCAGTTTAACGGGTCGAGGTCATCC